GAATACTGTCCCCACCCCCCGTCCGGCTCTCTTGCCTTTTAATCAACTGTTTCAAGAGCCACTTGAATGCGCTGGTTCCCCCTCCCTCGGCCTTCTACAGGAAAGTGGACGAAACACAGCAGCTGTCGCGCCGAGCTATCCTGAACGCATTCGACACAGTTGTCTCTTCGCGTGATAATATAGAAGCGGCTGCGGTGAGGACTACTTGAAACCCCTTTGCCCGACTGACACATGCCAAGGCCATTTGCGTAACCCCAGCAGCTGACAGTTTATATTGCTACCTCCCCCTCTGGTTCGCTGACAGCTGTCACCACCGCTGTCTTCAGACGCCTGCAAATTATTCCCCCTTTCCGACACGGAATTGTCTGTATTCAACCGCCCCACGCCACCAGTTCACCGCACCGTGTCCTTATTGGCTCCCTCGTTTTTTGGTTTCCTGCCCCTTATAAACTAACAGCAACACGTCTGTGTCATTCAAACGATTGCTCGTCTAAGCACCTCGAATAACCACATAAAGAATAACCGAGTTACCTGACTGTCTTTTGACATGGCTACTGACCTCGGGTGCGTCTATTCGGGTGACGAAACGCAGCACAGCATTAAGAAATATTGAATCATCACAGTTATTCGAGCTGCAAAACGAATAGACCAACAATTTGGAACATTATTCGAGAAGCTGTTCAACCAGCTCTTACAGTTATTCGAGCTGCAAATCGAATAGATCAACAGTTCTAACAATTATTATTAACCTACTTATACCTGAAAATTGGCAATTTCGGTTCAGTTCAGTTCACATTTATTCGGGGAAAGATAGGCTAACGTCTTTGGACCCCATTCGTTACAAAGTAACAATATTCACGTAGGGTTCGCTAATGATCGCTGTCTTATTTATGCCAGAACACTTTTGGTCGACAGCTCCGAGTTCGCACTGTTTCTACGGTTCTATCGACCTTAAACTTTACCCTTGGTGATTTTCTTCTCCACTCCCTCAGACTCCTCAAGCTGCTTTTTCTCACCTTGATGGATGAATCAACGGCTGTCCGGTCAACCATCGGGTGGGCCATCGCGTGTCTCCATGTCGACCGCACGACACCTTATCCCCTATGTCCCGCTCTGGCTATGCACACTCTCCTCTACCAGTTATTGCCCACCATTCTGTCGGACGAATCATGCCAGTCCGTTGTGGCTGCCGTGACTTGGATTTGTGACCTGTGGCTCTCGCTCCTCGAAGAGTTGGACTCCAAACTGAATCTTGAACGGAAACTGCGTTCAATGTGAGTTTACGTTTGCGTGTATTCGCCTTTACTCATCATTCTGTCCCTTTGCGGACT